GATCCACAGCATCCACAGGTGTGATCATCTCGTTTCCACCTTTCACTCTGCGCCCCTGTATCTGTGTTTAAAGCTCGGTGCTGACCCCTGCTGTGCACAGCAGTACACAGCGTGCTATCAAACCACCCAGAAACTCTGAGTAAGCAGTGGCATATTCATCAAAGGGTAAAATCTGTGACAACCACATATGATTACCACAGTAAAAAACTATACAAAACAGTTGATTTACACAGTATCAGCACTTTGTGGCATTCATGTGCGACTGATCTGATCAGAAAATGTTACAGAAATGAATGTTTCTGACTTAATTTTATTTCAGTTCCGGTTGTGAAATAAAAAACTTTACGAATAGAAATTCATTTCATTTCTTTGATGTGAATATTTTACTTTTATGAATGCTTCCATTTATTTAGATACTGTTTCAAATGACTCACTAAAACTGTACGTTTATCATTAAATGCACCACAATGAAACGAGCATAATTCCTAATATTATCTATTAACTTTTTTACTCTTTTTCTTTAATTTTTCTATTTATTTTATTTCTGTGTTTTATTTACAGTTGTACACAGATGATAAACTTTTGCAACTTTTAAAAATAAGATGCTTTCATAAATTTAACGACTAATAAAAACAAGACAAAAAATGCAGCATGTTAGAAACTCTACAAAATGACTCTGATTGGCTGAGACTTTTATGAAACTCACTGTCTTTGAAATTATGATCTCGAACTAATTTACTGGAAATATATTTACAGTTTTTATTTTTCTTGCACTCGGCAGTTTTTATTGATCGGAGTGTGCTGGACACAAGGCTCCTCAGGGTAACGTCCAGGTCACACCTGAGGAGCACCGCATGTTTGGTTTATGAGCCGTCGGTGGGCCTGCTCTGCAGCAGCACACCTGGATCTGTGGGAGCTCAAACCTAGGTGTGCATCTGGTCTCACCTGCTCTGCAGTCAGTATGGGCGAAGCAGCAGCGGCTGTTGGCTTCTTCCATCCAAATTGTCTGTGATACTCTGAGTGTTTCCCTCCTGACCTTTGACCTCCTGATCTCAGCCCCGCCTTTTGTCTCAGCGCATAATCAATCTACAGGACAAGAACATGACATGCTGTTGGATAGTCTTCAAAGAAACAATGAGGATTTGTCAGTTTTTGCAGACTTCACCTCAGCCCCTGATGGCGCTGGCTGCCCGTTAGCTGCTGCTGTCACAGACTGGCTGGGCTGTGGTTGGCTGTCAGGCTGCAGGGGACGGGGCTTCACTGAGGAGAAAAAGAACATGAAACTGCGTGTTGAACATTCAGAACATTAAAGGTCTGTCGGTCATCTGGAGCTGGTTTAGTTTCTCTTTGCTTTATGATATTTGAATCAGTCATCACGTAGCTGCTGCTCCATGTATTTACTCACCAGGTTTTCCATCAGCTGCCGGTTCCTCAGCAGGTCGTGGTCCGGCTGGAGTTTCCGGCTCTGTGGGGGATCCGGGATTTGCTGTTGGTGGATTGGGCTCTGGGGAGAGCATCCTCCTGTGGGCTGAGTGGCTCCTAAAACCTGGCAGTTTGAGAATCATCAAAATTTCCGGCTCGTTCTTTCACTGATAAGACAAACACGATCAAATGAAACATCCTGGAGAGTCTGACCTTTTAGTTAAAGCTGTTTTAGCAAAATGAACTAAACTTCAGGCTTAATCTGTAGTCAGAGAACAGTGTGAACGACTTCTGCTTTCCTCCTGCTGTTCAAATTGGCCTCTTTGTGGAGGCTGTTAGAAAGAGCAATGAAGGTAAACAGGACTTTGTGACTGAATGCAGTCATCCTTGAACTCCAGTGTGACGCTCACATTAAAGACACGTGTGCCACAGCTGGATGTCAAAGCTGGATCTGCAGCCTCTTCTACTTCATATACACCTTCATTATGCAGCAGCAGCATGAGGTTCCTACCAGCAGAGGGCGCTGCTCTGTGAGCCAGAGAGTGCTGCTGCTCATCACCTGGAGGATGGAGCAGAGAGGTGGAGGACTGAGCTGGGCGTAGAGGCCTCCTCAGGCGCTGAAGACCCGGCTCCCTGCTGACACCTGACAGACGAACATCTCATGTGTTCAACCACTTCATGTCAGAGCTCAGGTGCAGCTTGTGTTTGTTTTATTGTGGTGGTTTCGTGTTTCTTACCCATCTCATCGGAGCGAAGACCGGCCAACGGCATGCAGCGCTGAGGAGACGCATTTCTGGAGCGGGAAACACCAAAGCTCTTCTGATACTCAGTCTGACTCTACAACAAAGACACAGAGGTGCAAAGGCTCACAGGATGGAAACAGGTACAAGGTATGATTGAAAAAACTGCTGATCAATTAATCATCAATAGATTAATTATTTTTTAATATAAATATTGGAACTTGTTGCTGTGCAGGTAGATTTAAGGTCCTTACATCCACCGGTTAGTTTCAAAATAAAACTCTGCAGTTTATAACAGTTCAGCGCCAGTTCTTCACGTCTTTATCTGAAAAATCATCTTTCAAAATAAAAGCAGTAATATGGTGCACTCTTAAGCGAAACAGCTTCAGGTCGACGTGTTTTCGGTGTTGCAGTGAGGTGTATGTTGTGTTGAATGATTTGGATGGTCTGACTTCATCGGATTAAATCCAGATTAATCCCTCCTCTGCTATCACATGCAGACTGAGGGTCAGGATAACTCATTGTGCAGCATCTGCTGCTAATGCTAACACCTGTTGCGTTGTTTACCTTGAATCGGACGGTCATGGCGCGCTTGCTGCTCTCCAGACACCGCGAGAAGTCACCCCTCTGTCATCACGCGACAGGTTAACTCGTTAACTAGTCGGTTAATGTGCTATAACTAGCTAACTAGCCTGACCAACATGCTGCTAACGACCGGCTCCGCTTCTCTCTTCGGACTAAATCACGGAAACAAGCTACCCCGGTTGCCATGGCAGCTTAGTGTCGTGCGCAGGCGCGTCCACAGCGGGGCGGCGTAGGACGGTGCGTCACTGGACCGACATATTGCTCCGGGATATCTTATAAAGGCAGAGGTCCAAACAGGGTAAAACCACCATTAAAGCACTTGGATGTGTTACAAATGCTACCGCGCTGTCTACGAAACCGGAAGTTTACTTAAATAAAAAATGTTTTAACTTATTATATAATTATGTATAATAATATATTGCCTAATATTTATTTTACAATCCTGCAGCTTGTAAACATCAAATTAAAATAACGTAATTATTTCAACACGTGTACTGACCTGTCAATCACGTGGCTCAAAGTCGTCAAAACGGCTAAACAGAAAACTGGACAGCTGTAGCTCAGATGTGAAGGTCTAATAAATGGGTAACAGATTCAACAGACAAATATAATTCTCATGAATTTCCTGGTTACATTATTTTAATTATTCCGTTTACGTAAACCAAGATTTAAGTCAGTTTAGTCGGGTTAAAATGACTATTATTTATTGTGATATTTTAACAGTGAGATGTCCCACAGGAGGTACTCACCTGTGAAAAATCATACCATGGTGTTTAGTTTTCTCCTACTGGAAAAGTCGAAATGTAGCATAGACATCTGGTATTTTATATAGAAACAGAAACGGACACGTTAAATCCAGCTGAAGCAAGTGCTGAAGAGACAAAACCGGCAGTTCCTCCAACGTCCACCAGAGGCTCCCATTTAAAACCATCCACCCTACAGCCTGGTTAAAAAAAACATGCTGCCTCTATTAACATTTTTCTTTTTAACAACAGCTTTGCAGAGAATTATGTTTTACAATGATTTATGTTCACTTCAGGCTCCAAAAGTGAACAAGATGGTAATGTTTAGGCTTCATAATGCAGGAACAGTTGACAGCATTGACATCACTAATGATTCAGGTCATAATCTATTAAAGCATATATTATTTCATTCATTAATCTTCAAACAGAGATTCTGATCTCAGTACCACCAGATCTGATGGTTCTCCACGCTGAAGATGTTACGGATCAGTCGGTCTTCTGTGGGTGACGGTAATGTGGGGTTTACACAAACCACTTGTTCACCACTTTGGTGGTGATGTGATAGATGTGATAGAAGTATTAGATCTTATGAATTCTATGACACTAAGCTTCTAGTTCCCACAGCTGCCACCTTCCAATACCCATGTTTCCCATGTTTCACACTGATGCACTCTCCCCAACTTCAGGCCATGACATATATGCTCTTGATGCAGATCCCCAACATCTGCCTCCACATCCGCACACAATGCGGCTCAGGTGGTAGACCAGTTGGAAGATTGGCGGATGGTTCCTGATGCTGAACTCAAGAGTTTCCCCTGGTGCATCCATCAGAGTGTGAGTGACTGGTTGAATATGTCCAGTAGTAGGAAGTGCTCTCTGAGTATTTAATGTCCATCTTAGTGGCTCCTTGGTTGTCATACCTGGCAGCTTCATCTCATCCTGTTTGTGCAAAGCGAGGTGTAGTCCAAAGTCCAGGTCGCTGAGGCCTTTCTAAACAGCTTCAGGGCGACAAAGAAGAGGAGCAGAGATAGGACACAGCCTTGTCTGTGATGCTGAAGAAGTCCCAGTGACCATTTCTTGGTTTTGCAGCTCAATCGTCGACACAGATCTTTGAAGATGGTAACTAGAGCTCGAGTGATTTGCGCCGTTTGATTTCTACGAGTGGCTGAAATTCAGAATGACTCCACATCACAGGTTGCTGTTACAAAATTGCACCACTTTTATTCATTTAAGGCTTTTTAGTTTTTAACTTTACATTTGGCTTCACTGCCCCCTCCCCTCCCCCTGCCTCCCGCTGCCACTGTGGGTTTCTGTACTGGGAAGAAACCAGTTCAGACCATTTCAGCACCAGTGTTTAATCTCCCAGCAGCTTACTGGGTGGTTTTTTTTCCTTTATTTTTTCAAAGCTGATACATCACTGGTTGAACTGGTTTCTTTTACATTTCACTGGTCATCATGCCATACAGAGAAAAAGAAGCAGAATTATATCAGTACTGAGAAAATAAAAATAAAAATAATTTCTTCGTATTGTGAACTGCTCATTCCAGTTTGCATTCGGCTGTGGCTGCCATGGTCACTTCGACCTCACATCAGATTGAGGACTGGAAAGCAGAGTGAAGTATGTAAATGTGCCTCACATGGTCTGTGACACACTGCAATGCAGCTGTAAGAGTGAACTTTAATGCTTAAACACATGAAATGTAGTCAGATTTTTCTTTTAGTCACATTTACATGTTCATATCTGCTTACAGCTGCCGTACAGCAATACCACTTCTATTAAATGTTTACATGCTGCTCTTAAATGCCAAATACGGGCACTTAAAGTGAAGTGTTACCATCTGCACCTATTTACTGTAGCTGTCAAGACCTCAGTGTGCTTTAAATGAAGTGTGTAAAGACTTTAACACACGTCTGTTTCTGTCCAAACACTCAGTCCTGGCTTCGCGTCTTCAAAGCAACAATTGCAGCTACTTTTCAGTCTGCAGCATCGTTGCAGATGTGTGAAAATAAGGCCTAGCTCCCTTTCTTGTGTTTTCACACAGCTGCTTCTGTTGATTCGCACACGATTAAGAGATCTAAAGAACTTTTTCCAAAACATCAGACTTGTTTCTTCTTCTTCTTAAACCACACTGACGCCTTCAGAAGTCACAGGAAATGACAAATGGCACCACAGCCTCTTGGCGAAGGCCCGAAAGGTCAGAGTGCAGCCACGGCTGGCCAGCGAAATGACTAAAAGTTGTTTCTGAGGATGAAACTCCCGCTTTAAAGCCAGAACCCTTAACAAACTCACTTTGAAGCAGTTCTAAACAGATTAAAGGACATTTCAAGCATTTATCACCTCATTTCCCCTCTTAATGAATTACTCATAACCATAATCAGCTATAATCACATAAATGAATACATAATATGAAGCGTCTCTATTGATACATGAAGAAATGCTTTAAAACACTGAGAATACACTGCAATGCACAATGTATATGTGAATAAACAGTTAAAATAAACATAATCACACCATTATATGTAACTAAATATGCTTGCTAATCATCATTAATCATCAGTCATTAACTGCTAATACACCAGTTATGGATACTGTGTAGGAGAAGTGATAAAATATACTTAAAAATGGCCTCATATTGTTTTAAACTGTCATGAAAGTGGCTTATAAACATTATCAAGAGTACGATGGGGTGTATTTTTTATAATCCGTGTTTGTTTTTGGCTATAAAAGGTGCTGTGCGCTGCCCCTTGTGGCGTACACAGAAACACCTATTATACCTGCAGCTTTCAGAAATAACAGCAGTAGGTGTTTTCTGCTTTACGACCAACAGAGGCAGTAATGAGCCCCTCCTCTGTTGATATTACAAGAATAAAGCTGGAATCATCATAACGTGCTTGCAAGAAACAGTTGGCGATCGGCCTGCCGCAGCCACGAACGGCCCTCTGGCCCGGAAGCTTCTGCTCGTGTCATGCAAACTGTTGCAGCAGCACCTCCTGGAGGTCAGACCCGGTACTGGCAGAAACATCAACATGCTACATGACTGAAGACACTGGAGGAGACCCAGAATACTGACAGCAGTACCCTGCTGATAGTACAACACTGTGCACAGCAGCACTCACAGAGGTCACGGGTCCAGCAAGCGTTTCCCGTGAGCTGACCACGCCCACAAACACATATTCAAAGGATTTCTGTGGGTTTAACCCCCTCCGGCTGGACTGCAGCCATGCTACTATTAAACTGAAACACTGAGACTTTAAGTTTGTTCTTCAACTGATAAGAAAACACCTCCATCTATCGATGCTAACAATTTAACATTTAAGTATTACTCAGCACGGTGCATGCTAAAGTGTTAGCACGACGTACCAAGAATACAAGAAACTCCGCCTTATCCTGATTGTATTTGGGAATCCATCCATCAGAAGCTTAAAGGGGACCGATTATGCTGTGTTAGTTTTTTGTTTATTCTTGAAATCTTGACTCTCATAAGCTTTACTTTGTTCCTCATAATTTTGACCTTATTTCCAAAATCTTGACTTTTTTAAAATTAAAATCTTATTTCAGTTTTATTCTCAAACTCTTGACTTTATTGTTGAAATACCTATATCATTCTGCAACTTTATTCTGACAATACAAACACATTTTTTTCCTAATATGTTCCTGGTACTCCTTTCTAAACTTTAATGCCAGATATTTATTTTAAACATGGCCATAGTTTTAAATAATGGGATGAAAACGTGTGAAAGTTGTACCTTTACACACAAAGCTCAGGCTTCAGTTTGTTTTTGGTGCTGCCCCTCTGCAGGCTCCCATCAGTGGACCGATAAGAAGAAGGCGGGCTTTCAGGGATGGGGATGTCCTTAAAGCGACGGGTTAAAATGGCTCATTTTAAGCAGATTAGCCCAGAAGCTCCAAAAAGGGCCGGGAAAGGACAGTAAGGGCATTAATTTACTTTTAAATCAGGTAAAACTGCTCTAGTGGAAATAATATAGAGCTGAAAAAGAGCATGACAGGCCCCCTTTAATATCTTATCAGTTAAAGTGACTAAAGGACCAATAATTCAGTGTTTCAACCGCGCAGGTCAAAAAACGATCATTACAGAAAGTGGCCTGCTTCACTGTTGTTACGTAGCTCACATACACTCACAAACACACACACAAACACACACACAGAGTTAAGGTACTGGACCAGTGTGAGTCTGCTGTCAAAAAGGCAACATGTCCGCCCTGAGCAGCAGATCAGGAGTCAGCTCGCCATGCTGCTATGGCAACAAGCCACCTAACATCTTCCCGTTATATCTATATTCTTCCTGATTCCGCCCAGTTTGTTAACTTTAGGCTAATTTTAATTACAGCACTGCTATCAGCACAGTAAGCTAACCTCTTGACCTGCTGCTACAACCCCCAACCCTGCCTCACCCCCACCCCCACCCCTCCCGCCCCAAAAATCAAAAACATAAAATGACTTAATTGTTTTCACAAAGAATCATAATAATAATCACTGTAATAATAACCGCTGTATGAATCCACAGGTTTCACCAAAGCCACACACACACACGGTCAGCTGTGTCGGCGTCATCGTCATCACCGCGGCGATGCCGACACAGCTGACGGTCACACTGCGTGTGATTGGCTCAGGGCTGCCGGAAAACAATAAGGCGAAAGAAACGGGAAAAAAAAGTTTACATTTTTTTAAAAAGAAAAGAAAAAAAAAAAGCAAGAAGCCACTCCCCACTGCAAAGACAGCCTAGCAGAGAGCATGATGGGAACCGTAGTTTAAATCAAGCCCCTGCATTCCCGCAACAGCAGAATCATCATCATCATCGCCACCACCGTAGCAGTCCTTTGATGTTCTGTTTTAATGTTTCCAAGGCAACAGTCTCCTTTACATAGTGTGATGAAGGATGGGAGAAGAGATCGTCATGGTAACAGAGTGGCTGATGCTGATGATGACATGGTTGTGTTAAAGGGGCGTGGCCAGCTGGAAGATGTCCTGTGATTGGTTGGTTGGTTATCAGGTGAGCAGGAATCTGGACACAGAGAACCAGAGTGTGTGTGAACAACAACGTGTGTGATAAACTCAATGTGTGTGTGTGTGTGTGTGTGTGTGTGTGTGTGTGTGTGTGTG